TTTACACTTTACCCGCCATAAACCCTGTAATCTACGCCTTTTGGTCAAGAGATATACAAAAAGGGATAAAACAGCTTTTGTTCTGTTAGAAACGAGGCAGATAAGAAACACAGAATAAAGCTAATGTGCAAAAGAACGAAAGAACAAGATAGCCTTCGAGCAGCCCTTCATTCTAAGCCTTCGGTAAGGGGGTTACTTAGTCCGTGGGAATGTATGAGGACTTGAGCAGCACGAGCCCGCGAGAAGTGCAACGGCCAGACCACTGACAAACTTTTCCTTGACTCGTCTCGAAACTTCCTGCGGGCAGAGGAACGCGTATCCTAGAGACCTAATTACGATGGCCTGCCTACCGACTATGAACAAGGCAAAAAATGAACTTATAATTGAACCAGCGCGAAAGAGCGAAAGAAAGTGCCAAGTAACCAATGTATTAAGTTAACGATCCATAGCGAATTTAGCTCCAGGTCGAGAACGATCTGGAAACCAGAAGAGGTCATTTTCTAACCACACCTTTTGATTTTTGTTTATATGATATATGATATATGCTCGAGTTTTAGGAGTCTTCATTGATGCGATTATTTCAAGATGATTTCTTGAAAGAGATAGTGAAATCTACAGTTTGCTGTAAGATGCATCCTTCACATTCCCACAAGTAAACAAAATTTGAAGTTTTTATTCCTGAATAAACTCAGATTTCGAGTGTAACATATGAAAGCGGCTGAGTTGGGGAACCAGCATTGCTGTATTTGTCAATAAGCTACCAGTTTACATTAAATGATAATGATGATAGTAAAGACAATGACGATAATCACAATAAATATGACATGGTCAGTTATGGTCTCACGTCTCCTAGTTGACAAAATCTTTCTTCTATATCCCAAATAATTTAAGGGACAAGAACTGTATCTTTTTTATAAGCTAGTGGATCTCGAATCGTGAGTATGGAAAAAGAATGAGTGAGAACTTCCTGTAGAAAAATCACCCAGGAGGTAAGTGGGGAGTGATTTGGCACCAGTGTTATGGCTAGGCTCGGTTTCCGTCGTTTTCTCGAGTCAAGTCCTCGATCTTCATCGTGGGGGGAAGTCGCGGGCCTGAACAGCATGTGATTATCAAGCTCAAGTTTTTGAGCATCAGATTGCTTTTCTCAGATTATGTATTTCCGAATTATAACACAGCACGCAGCTACAATTCCATCATAAGATTTTGAAACGAACGATTTTTAATTAACATTTTAATAAATTCGATTTTTGGTGATTCACTTGCTACTACATTGCCCCTCGTAGCATGCTTGACAGCGTCGCTTGTCGTGTGGCATGCGCATTCTTCCGGGTCTTTTCCTATCGTTGGAGTCTTCCGGTGGAATGTTGTAGATGGCCTGAAATAGGATAGAATTATTGTCAGCATAGAGACTTTAATTTTACTGAGAGAGTTATGAAAGCAAAACCGATGCAATCCCAGCGGCCTTTTAGAGCAAAGGTAAACATCACGCGAGCCATAAAAGCTCTAAGTCGAAGAGAGACAACCGCCTGAAGTGCAGTAAAACACTACTGACCAAGTCACACTTGGTTAGGGTTTTTAATTGCCTAAAAGGATGGCGTGAGCTTTTTATACTTTAAACACAATTTAAAATAAAGAAAACCAAATACAATGGTGATTTAGTTTCGAGTCTCGATTCAAAATTTTTCTAGTTCATTAATGATCTAAAGATGTTTCCAATTTTATTCCAAAGGTCGTTATGATATTAAGAACAGATGATTTTTTTTACATACGCCACGTTCCCTTTTGGAATTTTACCTTTTTGGAATTTTATTGCATGCCTTGGAAGGGAAAACCAACTGAACTCAGTGTGTAATATTCTTCTGACTTCTTGGAGACCAGTCGAATTTTCTCCAAAGCCTATTTTCAGACACACGACCCTTAGAAAATGGGATGTTCAGTGTCTACGCAAAACAGGGTTTTTGCTTTTAGCACGATAACCTCTCTGCAGGCATGTGACCTAATGTTCCATTAGCAGTGTAAGTGAGGTATTTGAATGTGGTATTCATGAGTATAGAATACACGAAGTACCCAACAAAGTGACTGTTAGCTGTCCTAGCTTGAAGAAGATATTTTTCACGGAGTCAAAATTACCTGTTTTATCTTTTCATAAACATTGTCCAGAATTCTTTTGGTCTCATCCTCGTACCACATCGGATCCGTGAATGTCCCATCAGGGGTCCCAACAGTACAGACGTTGCACTGTTGACCGTACAGCCTGAACCGTAAGGAGTCTAGGAGGAAACTCATTTGTAATCAAAAAAGCATCTCGAAAACAATGATTAAATTTATCAAGAGAGAAATCATTCTCCTGCCCAGTCTCCTATTTTAACAACAAAATCTCAGTAGAGCTCTTCCTTTATAAACCATTCCTTTAAGTTATAAGGGCTCCTAAGCGCAGATGTTAATTTTGACAAGCGAGTGGCTACCGGAAGGAGAACCCAACTACTTCCGGCGCGCTTTT